TGAGTTTCAAATGTTCGAGTGAGCTTGCATATCCGGTATAGGCAGGACCCATGATGATCCGACAGGCTCTACGTTGTATCCGCTCCAGCTGATCAACTTGTTGTTTAGAAAGTCCCGGGGACCAGACGGGAACAGCGTACTCCATAAGTGGACGGATGTATGCAATGTAGATGATTAGGAGTTCATTTTGTGAGAGATTAAACTTCCTGAGACGCTTGAGAATAAACAGTTTCCTGGCGGCGTTTGCAGACATATGGTTGGCCTGTTCATTCCAACGTAGGTCACTCTGAAGGCGTAGGCCGAGTATCTTCAGGCAGGGGACAACAGACAGAACTGAGGAGTCAATCCGCAGTGGGGGTAACAGTGGTGGGTTTCTGCAGAATGTAATGTGCATTGCCATGCACTTGCTACTGTTCAGGAGCATGTGGTTGTCCATTGTCCAGGAATGTAGTTGGTCAAGGTCGTTTTGGAGACAGGACGGCAGATGGATGGATCTTGTTTCAGAAAGTTCATGTCGTCTACGTATTTCAGGGCATAACTGACGGCATCACTAGCGGCATCGTCGATCAAAACGAGGAAGAGTATAGGTCCCAGTAATGTGCCTTGGGCAACTCCGCAAGAGAGGGTAACCCAGTCGGAAAGGGCTCCTCTATACCGTACTCTCTGTTTTCTCGCAGAAATGAAGTCGCACACCCACGGAACGAGCTCGGGCCTCAAACCCTTGTTGAGAGCTTAGTGATCACTGTATTATGGTCTACTCTGTCAAAAGCCTTAGTAAAATCAGTGGCTACAATGGTGCTGATGGTTGTGGTGTGTCGGCTCCAAGGGATAGTCTGTCCACCAGGCTTAAGAGGGCGTGAACCGTGGAGCGGCCCTTTAAGCTGCCGAACTGCCGTTGGTCCAGCTTAATGTCGTCTGTAATCCACTTAGAGGCAAAGAATTCCGCAATCTTAGCAAACTGGGGGTCAGTGATATGGGCCTCGACTTGTCCAGTGTAGCAGGTTGGGACTTTGGAACAGGCACAACCACGGCTTGCTTCCACTGGTGGGGACCACGCCAGTTGCAAATGACGCATTGAGGATGTGGCAGAGGGGAGAAGTCAGCTCACAGGCAAACTCTTTAATCAGTTTCGGTGGGATGTTATCAGGGCCTGAGGCTTTGTTTGGCTTTACTGCTCGAAGACGCTGGTAGACATCCCAGTCAAGTAACCTTGGCAGCTGTTCAGGGGAGGGGAGGAAGGATGGTAACAAGGAGGTGTTCAGCTCGGGTAGGGCATTAGACACCTCGGCGAAGCTTGAGTTGATGATATTTGCGGTGGCGAGGTCATCATCAGCTGGAATGCCAGGAACTGTAATCGTACTATTGGGTTTCTTCATGTTAGCCATCTTCATGACTTCCTGGTGCCAGCGTTTTGGATTGGCTACTTGCATATTATAATGAGCATGCTGCACACAGGGAGGCAGCGGCCAGGGCGACCGGCCCTGAGTGCGCGGGAAATGTGTTTTGCAACTATATTTTTACGGGGATTTTCTGACGTTTGACGCTGACTTTGGCACGATATGATCGCACTACCATGTACACGCTACCGTAGGCGGCAAATGAGTGGTCATTTTTATATAATTTTCGAGAAATTTTGGCGTTATGCACCCGGAAGTGAGCCGATCTCAGTTTGCGTTCCCTCGATTTTTGACAGTTTCCCCCCTCAAAATAAGAAACAAAACTACCGCTATTAAATAGAACCATGTATTACAATTATCATTTCAACATGATAGATCTATTATATATTCCTTTATTAACTATGATATCATCATGGTTGTGGAAAGTCCTCAGCTGGCGAACCGAGTCCTTTCGCCGGGAGTGACGGTACATTTTACCGTGAGTATTAAAGCCGCTAGTACTAGTAAGCCGCGCGCCTTACAAAAATTATAATAATTTTTCTTTTGTGTCAAAAACCGCCGTGAATTTAAGGCATGAGTTACCGATTTATATTTCTTCTACGGCAGATATTTCTTGTTTCGTCACGTCCCATGACGTCCTGTGAGAGCGGTAGGCCGCCGCTGGTACAAAATGTACAAGACATCGTCTGCCCACTGCTACTGTAACACTTTGTTGACATACATTGTATTACACAACGTAGTTTTCCGCTAGAAATAACTATAGAATAGCATTAAAAGATAGCACAATTCGCTTCACACAGTCGACACATGGATAAACCACAAAGTTATTTTACGAATCACATGTCCACTTGCCTCTGGTGCTGTTATTTTTCAAGGGGCAACATCGCAACACATTAGCGGACGCCCCAGGAGGTGGCAAATTGCTATTGTCTTGTCGGCGCGCAAAACAAACATGAAATCCGACCCTATCACATTAACGCAAACGGTAACGCGTTAGAAATAATTTCTGACGATTTTCTAACCATTTTCTGACGAAAATCTAACCAAATACTGACGATTTTCTAACCATTTTCTGACGAAAAATAACTCGTTAGTAACGGGGTACCCGGTTAACTATAACGCGAACGGTACTGTAATATAGCTAGCTGCCGCCGCGCCGCGTGCCTGTGAAGCTGGTGTGTTACGCCGAAAGGCAGTTATACCGGCTATACAGATACACATACAGATACAGATGGCAATCGCATTTAAGCGAACCGCTGAGCAACCAAAAATGGCCAGATAGCTTAGCGAACATCAAAACCGAAGAAAACATCTCTAACTCCTGATGAGCAACCAAAAATTTCACAGAATGCTTGAAACAAATTTAGGGGGGAATCCGTTGATAGTCTTTTAATTTGTGTGTTAATTTAACTTTTAAATCATACTAAGAGTAAGTCATTCTTGTGAATCTTGTTCCATCGATAAAACCAAGGAGGTTAAAAAAGAGATTCTTTTTTAACCTCCTTGATAAAACCAACAAAACACAAATCTAATTTTTGGTAGCTTAGCATTGACGCTATCTAGTGGATAGGATACCTTTTAGTTCTGAGAGAAGACAAAACATTTTGCTGTCAAGACACTGAGTTATATTGGTAATGCCATCAATTATCAAACAAGGCACACACACACATGTACATTTCGTACGTATATAGCTATAGTATAGGTGATGGTATCAGAAACCTTTCAGATTTAGAAGCTCAAAGTATTATATGCTTCTCTATAGTATGATTCTACAATATTTCACTTTTGATGTAAGATTTTTTTTTTTGCTCTTTCATGATCTTGTATGAACATGCATGAAGTGAAAAAATGTATTATTACATGTATTATATAAGTTTGGCATATTTCTTCCCAGACTTAATCATCTAGATTCCATCCATGAAAAAATGCAATCATGTTGAGTGGCGTTTTAGACAAAAAATACATGTACATGTTGTCCAGGTGCCAGCCTCAAAGTTCAAAGTATGGGAGACTCAGTGATGATTATGAATTCCTGTCTGGATTTGTTGCACATAGTGGTGCATACCTAAACCGACATTTAGGTTCAGGTCCGGATTCAAGTCCAGAAGTTTAGGTTCAGTGTCCGGACCTACATGTAAACCCATGGCATATACAAAATTGCATGTTGGCAACCTTGCAATGTTGTCTGGGTGAAACTTTGGCCACATAACATGGAAGGCGGTATTTGACGATGCCCGATGGCAATGTTTTCTTCATTTTGCACGCAAAGATTTTGCAATCTACGGAAGGAGCTAGGTGGTTTGAAAAAAAGGGGTATGTGAAATGGTATTTTATGGTAATAAGTCCGGACTCGGTTCTTGACTTTTAGGTTTTTTGGACTTGAACCTAAACATTCTTTTAAGTCCGGATCCAAGTCCAGTGAACCGGTATGCACCACTAGTTGCACAACTACATTTTGTAGTTTTGAATTGAGATTAGTCTGAAGTAGTCATGTAGCTTTAGTATGAGAAAGAATCAAGCATTGCAGGGCGCCTTGTGTGCATAGTTGTCTATGTGAACGTTATCTTACATATACATGTATGTATATCCAGCGTGCAAAATACCTGGTTGCCCAGTTGCCCCGGGCAACCAAATTTTACTTGGGGCAACCTATTTTTGAACCTAGGTTAAGCCCAGTGTGCTACCTGAATTTCAAGAATGCCCCCCCCCCCTAAAATCATGCCCACTTGGCTTGCACCACTGTATCCAGCAGATGCTTTTTAATTTTAGGTATTAATGGCTATTACTAGTATCAGTTAACTAAAGGCTGTTAGAAATATTGTCAAAGGCTTATGTATGTAACATTACTTAATTTGAGGAAAGTAGTAACTTATAGTTACAGGTGGGGCAACCTAAAATTCTGATGGGCAACCTAATTTTTGCCGTAGGTTGCCCACTGGGCAACCTGGTTCAAAAAAGTATTTTGTACACTGTGCATATAGCTTTAGTATGAGAAAGAATCAAGCATTGCAGGGCACATCTATACTCTCATCTGCCAAATAAACATACGGGTACGTTTATTTTTTTGGGCCCTAACATCCACCCAGTACGTTCTTATTTTGCACAGTACGTTTATAAATTTTTTGAAAACCAGTAATTTTTTTCAACTTCGTGTGAAAAAAATTGACAAATCATCGACGTGAAGACGTTTATAAACGCGTATTGTAGCGAGAAACTTGTCATTTTCGGGCCGGTTTTTGCAATCACCGCGTGCATAAATTCGTCTGAATGTTCTATTGTCATGGGTGGTGCTTATCAAAATACGAAATTAAATGCCCCTTTTTTTTGTCTATTTCAATTCCTAATTGCAAATAACAGTTAAAGATTTGTGCATATATCAGTAAGGGCGCATTTTAGTACAAGAGACACAGGTTACCCGTCAATTTTGGAAATTTTCCAGGGGGTACGTTTATTTGATTTTGAAGATTTGTCCGGGGGGTACGTTTATTCCGGGGGGTGTATGTTTGTTAGGGACATGAGAGTAGTTGTCTGAACGTTATCTTACATGCATTTACTGGTATTAATTTAGTTCATAATATATACATTTTGTACCCCACCTTACAGTTTGCCCTAAATGACAGTCACCACCAGTTGGTCATCCACTGGGCTGGGGAGGGGAGTGACCTGATCGTGGCCCTGGCCAGAGAGCCCCACGCCACTGCCCAGTCCACCAGTAACGTCTACATCTCCCGAGACTACGGCAAGACCTTCACGGAGAAACAACAGCAGTACATGAGGCTGGAGAACAACTCGGCCTCCATCATAGACAACTTCTACCACAGCCCAGCAGATATCAACAGGGTATGTATATTTTGTAGTACAGATCTCAAATATCAATAATATTATTAATAAGGCCACAGCAATAAAAATTTATGGATGACATCCTCAGCAGACTCCAAATCTAATGCGATAGGGCAAAAAAAAAACAAGGCGGGCCGAAAGAAAACAAGGTTCCTACATTTTCAAATTTTGACTCAATCATTGAACAAATTGTTTGATTCAGTGGGAACAACATTTTTGCGGAAGAAAAAATTAAATTAAGCAGCCTGCAACTTTGCAGACCGAAAAAATAAGGCTACAGATTAAATGGTGGTGGCCTCTGTGCATATGGCTACAGATTTGCCCAAATGTGCTGCACAAACAACATGATATCTTGCTTCTAAACCCAGATAGTGCAGTTAGTAGTGGCAAAATTTAGTACTTTCTTTAGTCTAATTGCTATAGAAAAACGTCTACTAAGCTGAAAAGATTGTGTATTTGCAGAAAGTATTTGCAAATTGCAAAAAAAAACAAGGAAAAAAAGTATTTCTACCACTGCATCTAAATTGTTGTGTCTTGTTGATACAGTACATCTTCACGGACGTGGTTCACCGGCGGATCTGGCGTACGACAAACGGCGGCGTGAGTTTCTCCATGGGCTACGTCCCGTTTGTGCCCACCAGCCTCCTCATGCACGAGTCTGACAACAACCTGGTACTGGGCATGGACGAGAACGATCACCGCAGGAGGGTGGGTCCATTATTTGTTTGTTTGTTTATTCACTAGGCCACACCAATGTAATTTGTTGGTGAAAGGGAAAGGTAACATTTACAAAGCAAATGCATAGAGTAACTGTTTACCTACACATGTACATATGGTCTGCTCTGTTAATTCTTATTCAGACACATTCATAATCATACATATGGTGACAGGAGTCTAAATCCCTCCTGCTGTAAAATTGCAACATGATGTAATCCAACACCAGTTACCATGGTGACAGACATTTGGTTCAGGTCACTGACCTTATTGTTTAGAGAAGAAGAAGAGGACACAGAGCAAAAGCAACATGTTTTCCTTATCAGTAAACATAACCTAGTTATCTTACCTTACTTTCTCTACCACAAGATTAAGTCCTAAAAAAAGGAAATCTACAGCACATTTTTC